AAAATGTATTAAAGCAGAAAATAGTATTGTAATATTTTGCATTATTACTGTTTTTAGTGTATTTTAAATCTGTGTTTTACTGATCAAATAAATGGAGCCTTAGTGATCATAAGAGACCTTAAAAAACTTTCAGAAACAAAAAAATCCCCAATCTTTTGATCTGTACTGTATATATTTTACTATGTTGCAATAAACTGAAAAACAAATATATTTTAGTATTAGAATAAAATAATGATTTATGCGCATTTATTCTAATTACATCATGTGCATTTCATCATGGGCTTGGTTTAAAACTTTGTTTTGAAGCAATAACGTGATGAGATTCATTTCAGAGCTGGTTGGTCTTGATTTAGGCAAATATTTCCATAAACTTTTCCAGCAGTCACGACTTGACATTTAAGTTCCCCTAATGAAGCGTCTGACATTGACAGGTGATCACATGTGCGGTGCACTATTTGTGTGATATTGTCTTCCTTCTGCTCTGTAAACCCTTCATCAGGAGATGAAACAGCACAGCAGTGCTCATAATGGCAGGTTTTCATTACCACACTCACCCTTTTTTAAATAAGGAACTACTAAAGCCAGACTGATAAATCTGTTATTTTGGGATTTCTGGATTTTATATGTGTGCCTGATTTGATTTCTGGTCTGTTTTTGCATATGAGCTCTATTTTGACATTTCCTATCTTGTGGTAAGGCACGTGATTTCCTGTATCATGGTGGCCTTTTGTTGCCTCTGAGGTTGAGCGTGATGGTAATCTGATGATGTGGACGTGCAGATAAAGTCCAGCGGTGGATGGGAAGGGCTTGGAGGGGACAATAGATGTGCATCCAAATTAAGATCACTTCCCTTAGTATGACTTCCTGTTACTGTTTTCACCACACTTTTGCCATTGACATCTCTTACAGCATTTGACTAAATAAGATCATCACGTCTGAAATTACTGACACGCTACACAGAGTCTGTATGCTGAATGATTTGACTTTTTATGCCTAGCAACTAGGGCTGCAGCTATCGATTCTTTTTGTTATCGATTAATCTAGTACTTAATCAATCGATTAATCGGATACTTGTTTTTTGTGTGTTTTTAAACAACCAAAACAAATAATGCATAACGAAAATGATGTGGCTGTAAAACGATCAAGCATTTGGCTTTTATTTATGTTAAAACAGATATGTAATCCCATTATTATTTACCCATTTAGTGTTTATAAGTGCCAGTGGCAAAAATTATATAACAATACAGTTAAGTCAACTTTCACAACTTTCATTCATAGTCTGGTGTCGTTTAAAGCCCTTTAAAGCTGCACTGAAACTCTCATTTGGACCTTGAACCATTTGGTTCCCAATGAAGTCCATTATATGGAGAAAATCCTGGAATGTTTTCATCAAAAACCTTAATTTCTTTTCGACTGAAGAAAGAAAGACATGGACACCTTGGATGACACGGGAGTGAGTAAATTATCAGAAAGTTTTTAAAAAAATGAACTACTCCTTTAACGCCAAATAAAATGTTGTCTCATTGTCTTGAAATGAATCACTGATTATTAGGCCTATTATTATACTTACACTACCATTCAAATGTTTGGGGTCAGTACACTTGTTTTTTTTTTTAAATAGCCCACATATTACCCATTATTATCAGTGATTCTGTCTACACTGGATGCACGCCACTCGATCCGCATGCTTGAGCTTTTGATAACGGTACAAATGCATTTGAAGCGTTTGCTTTGATGTGTCCAAGGGCACGCCGGTTCAGACAGTGTTAGAATGCTGCAGACCATTTTCTTTTGCGAGTACTTACTACTTGTTTCATCTCAAATCTTGGCATATATGACAAACTCACCCCAAGGACAACTCAAACCCCCCCCCCTTTAAAGATAATGCTTCCAGCGCTCCCCCAATGTTTGCCGAATGCTCCATGGGGGGCCCCCCGTTGAGAAAAGCTAGTATAACATTAGCGAAACATCAGCCAAAGGCTAATAATATCAATTACCATTATGTGTCCAACATTGTAGAGAGAGATACATAAAACGCATTAGTTGTAGACGACCCTGTATAATTCGCTCATCATCAGTTTCTAGTTCAAACATATATGGCTCAATTAAACCAATATTTCCACTTACCATTTTATATCTTTCACAGTTGCCTAAGTGAAATCAGGTAATCCGAGCTGATGTGATTGAGAGTTTCCGACAAGACTATACCGCATTGTAAGATGAGTAAAACTTTAAGTGATTTAGACCTTTTCAAGCATGTTTACTATACGTTAAGTTATTCTTAGAAACCTGAGTGTCTAAAGCTGTATCTACTGTCTGTTTGTGTGTACTGGGCTTTATCCGCTATCTGAAATAGTAAGCTGACGCGTTCATGTGCAGGCTGACAGTTCGGTATGTGCGAACTCCTTCAAGGTTTTGACCTTGATATTATGCAGTGCGATTAGTCTTGATGTGTTCCTGGACTTGTGTGTGAGCTCACTTTGTTCACAGTGTCAGGTTGGGCATAACACCACCAGGCCAGAGCTCACACTCTCACATGTGACAGGACTGACAAAAAGGGCTGGACCCACACCAATTGCATGGTAACCTCACCAAAAATGTGAACAATTTAATGATAGACTAACACACAGGTGGTAACTCTTCGTCAGACAATTAAAACTTAAACACACCACGCCTTTATACTCACAGGTGACTCGGGATCAGCAAAAATCGATATAAGCAGGTAACAATTACACACAAAAAAAAATTCATTTCAGTTCATTTTTTTAACTGTTCGTTTTAACGAATGTGGAAAGCATTAAGTTCAAAGATTTATTTTTGCTTCATCACTTAAAAACTTTCCCGCTAGTCTTCGTGTCCTATTTTACTCTATGTGCACTGAAATGTGTTTAAGTGTTTAAGTTGGGGGGAAGTAAGTTTCTCATTTTTTGGCCAATGAATCACTCAAAATACTGAGTGTATTTTTTTCGAATATATATATATATATATATATATATATATATAAAAATTGTATTCAACTAGATCGCTCAGCCCCAAACTCCATAAACCCTGTCCAGTAGAGATTTAAAAAAGGCTAGTGTCTCAATTTTTTTTCTAAAGTTAAAGGGATACTCTTTGGAAATAGGCTCATTTTACAACTCCGCCAGAGTTAAACAGTTGAGTTTTACCGTTTTCGAATCCATTCAGCCGATTTTCGGATATTTAGAAGAATATCAGTAACCAAACAGTTTCTGGTCTCATTGACTTCCATAGTAGGAAAAAAATATACTATGGTGGAAGTCAATGAGACCAGAAACTGTCTGGTTACTGATATTCTTCTAAATATCAGAAAATCGGCTGAATACATCTGAAAACGGTAAAACCCAACTGTTTAACCTTTGGGGCAGTGGTAAAATGAGCCTATTTCCAAAAAAAAAACAAAAGTGGAGTATCCCTTTAAATTCTTTTGACCAGTTTGAGGGAAACGGGTGATTCAGTAAAACAACCCACATTCGACACTACACACCTGCCCTTTTCCTTAACACTGTGGTGAGTTAAGAGGCAGGCTCCTCTGTGTAGCCTCCCACAGCTCTGGAGGAAGAACCGGCTCTGACATGTGGGAGCATCTCAAGAATGCACAGTGGTTTTGACTTGTAGCAGTTAGCAGCCCACAAGGCTTTGAGAGTGACTGTGGGGGCCCTGTGTTTTGCATCAGTGCTCCGAAGCACTGCAGAGCTGCACAAGGTCATGTCTTCACACAGAGCTATCTTTAGATTAATAAACGGGCTTCAGTAGATTAGACGTAATGAAAATAAAGAGATACTCGCAGCGTTATCGGTCAGGGAACAGGGAAGTGTGGGTTGAATTCTGCTGCATTATCTGCATTTCTGGCCTACTTTTCTCTCGGACAGATCTGCTCGTATGTCCACTTATCCATCTGGAGTGGCCCAGTTTACTGGGTTGAGTGCATGATTTTAAATATTTGAGCAAAGGTTGTTGGAAAAGAGCTGTTCTGTGATATGGGAAGGCTGTGGGTCTAGTGCTGCTCTGTAATATTTGGTTTTCTGTGGAAGATTTACACCTCTGTAATGACCGCATTTCCACTGATGTGAGACAAACGTAGAGTTATGTTTTTGGCAGACACTTTTTTACCGGTAACTGACAAGAATATCCATATAGTGTACTATAACTGTAGAAAGTATTAAGCACTCGGATGAATACTGAAGCTAAAGTTATTTGTGCTAAGAATAACAAAAGCAGAAATATTATTTATATGATCTCAATCTTGAAGTAAAACTACTAGGTTTATATTGTATTGGGCTTATTGATAATACAATGATTGAAGTGATAATTCGGGGCTTTGTAGAAGCGTATTTATTTTTAAAAAATGTTTATGCGATTTTGTGTCAATTTTTAGTTTTGTTTTAATGATTTATTATTTAAATAATTAAAGTTGTATTTATTATTTGTTAATTATGTTTTTAATGATTTATTATATGTTCATTAATAAAGTTTCCTACAGTTCAAGCTATGAAAAGCAGATGATCTAAATAATAATTTATTTTGAGAAATATTCACAATCAGCTAAACTAAACTTTTGTTGAATTGTTGTCATTCTCTGAAATATATAAACAAAAATACCTGAATTAATTGTTTGCATCCAAAAATGTAAAAAAAAAAAAGAAATCAACGTGTCCTTAGAATAAAATAACAAAGGATCAACGTAAAGATGCATTTTGTTTAAAAATGATCAAAAGCACCATTTTCTGTTGAAATCATGGTCTTAATGTACCGTAACTACCGAAGTTTCATCCTTCACTGTTTGTCTTCATTTGTATTCACTCCATATTTAATAAGAAACTGTGCAACTGACACCTATGTCATTCATTTTTGCATTCTTGTATATGGTTGCTTCAAGTCTTCGCTGTTTGTTTGGAACATTAACTGCTTTGTTCAACTGAGGTTTTGTCGCACAACCTTTGCTGGATTGATTTTAATGAAGTGTTGCTCTTAATTTGCAGGTCTCACCACAGAGGGCCTTTATCGAGTGAGTGGAAACAAGACGGATCAAGACAACATTCAGAAACAATTCGACCAGGGTATGTACTGATTTTAACTGGGCTCTGCGGGAAATTAGGTTTCATTTGCAGGTTTTTGATGGCTTGCGACTAGGACACATGTTGGAAGACATTTTACAAATTGGATAAGTGTCCCTGATAAACTCCAGTTTGAAGGGTTCTTTTATATATTTGATCTTCCCCACTTCACACTGAGTGGAAATCTTGTGTTTCAGTCAGTTGTTTGCTTGTGTATATATGTGTTTGTGTGTGTGTGTGTGTATATATATATATATATATATATATATATATATATTATATTTTGTCCATCTAAAATCTAAGTTAATCGAAAAAAAAAGTAATTAATTTCTAGCTGCTAATTACATCTTCAAAAGTGTAACCTTCACTAATTACTCTCTCTAAAGTATTACGTTACTTATTAACGCAAAAATTTTATGTTATATAATTATTGTATAGTCTATACATTTATGTAATACAATTACATCAGAAGTAACTAATTAAATGACTGAAGAATTAAGTCGTCTCTTTACTTTTTCAAGGAAAAAGTAATTAAATTGGAGTAATTAATTACTTGGTGATGCATTACACCCAAAACTTATTGTTTTGAAATATTTATTTTAATTTAAGTAATTATATACTTAAATAATAATAAATAATTCACTTAAATATTAAATAAATAATTTCCTTAAATACTATAATTTCTAACTTTCAAACTAGTGAACACTTGGGGTGTAACGATACCTTTATGTCACGATTCGATACATATCACGATACTGAACTCATGATACGATATTATTTCGATACTCCGAGACATATGATAAAAGGTTAACAAAAAATGTACTGTTGATTAAAATGGCAACTTTGATATTACATTGTGGGTTTAAATGAATAAGTTTAGGACAATGGTGACACCAGAATACAAATATTCATGATTCTGAAGCTGAAAACACAGAATTTATTATTTTTATTTTAGACGAATATGCTTGTGCTGTCACTGACTAGATATATTTAAAATAATGTTGGCCACTTTTTACTGGTAACATAAGACATTTGGTATTATCAGGACCCACAAATATTCCCCATTGCTTTATTATACATTATAATCAACATTATGTATAGTAGTTTAATGTAGTACGCACTAAAACTCTGAAAAAATTGTTTTTTTTTCCCGCCACTCAGTAATTTTTAATTTGGGGGAACTATCCACGATATGAATTGTATCGTTGTAAAAGATGAGAAAAAGGTCCTGAATTACACAATTAAGAACTGTCACACTGTAAATGAACCATTCCTCTAAAAACAAACTTGCCATTTGTGGCTTCTGGATGGCTTGGTGCCTGCAGGCCTCCATCAAGCTGTGATTCGCACTCATTATTCGCTTATGCAGGACATTTTTAGCTCAAATCTCCTTGTGACACATTAAAGGGATCTGTTATATTCTCTTTTTTAAACCTCAGAATTAAATTGTCACTACGCCGATGATATATTGAGGCAGTTACAGGCCAGCGGTGGGTGGTATGACCAAAATGTATTCAGTGCACTGCCACTGAGTAATGTTATTTCACAGAAACGCTTTACATCATAATTCAATGAAAAAAAAAAGAAAAAAGGCTCGTATATTAAACAACCGTGACAATTGTAGATAATGCAGTGAATACTATCTTTTACTTCCATCTCATTTTTTTTTTCTTTTTCTTTGGAACTTGATGGACAGCAACCAAATGATAAGATTATCCATAACAAATGAAGTCTGGCATTCGTGCACAAGCAGCTTTTCGCATGTTATGTAACACTTGAGTTAAAAACAAGGGCATCAAAACGGTAAAAGCCCAAACAAATTTTTTGCTGTGCTTGGCAAAACCTTTAAGTTCTTCCTCATTTTGACGTCTGTGATGAATTTCCACATTTACTATATTTGCACTGCTGTTGCTCTATCGCTATCACGTGTAAATACCATCAAGCTGGTCACTATTACAGGAAATAGGTTTGTTATTTTGTAGCCAAATGAAATCCACTGTTTTCATATATCTTTCAAATCAAACACTAGTCATGGCTGGTGAACTGGGTTGAATATATTCAGCCGAGTGACCACATTATTCATTCAGTGAGCCATCGTTTGCCCAAAAGAGCCACTATAAGCATCAGTGCCCACTGGCCCGGAGCCATTAGTCTTCCTCTCTTTTTCTCTTCTGCATCCTCACGATACAGTGAATTGGGTGCTTTTTACCCCTTCATGTGTTCATTCAGTGCCTTTGCGAAGAGATCTAATCTGACAGCTGTCATTTCACCTTAAACCCCGCTCTTACAGCTTCTCTTTCTCCTCCCTATCCTCTCTTTCCGATTTATTTTCCCCTTTTCTCCATAGTTTTCCTTCTATTCTGCTCAATCCCGTTAAATCTATTTTAGTGGCTTTACCAATACTGATAAAGGCAGTTGGATTCCTCCACAAGCTCACACTATTTTCACTCTTCTCTCAGACCACAGCGTTGACCTGATAGTGATGGATGTAGCCGTGAACGCTGTGGCTGGGGCCCTAAAGGCCTTCTTTGCCGACCTCCCTGACCCCCTCATACCGTACTCTCTCCATCCAGAGCTGGTGGAAGCAGCCAGTAAGTATCCACACATTTCTCCATCGCTTCCTTTTTTTTTTTGTCTGAGGTTTGTGGTAGCGGACTGGTTTAGAATGGTTTACTAGTTACAAACTGACTGTTGTGTAGCATTCAGTGTCATGCTTTATTAAGCCCTAAGTTAAAAATTTTTTTTTTTTCAGTAACATTGCCTCTGCCTGATTTGGTCATAAAAACATGGTATCATTTTTGAGTTTATCGTTTTTTAAAATAAGTTTAAAGGCCTGCTCATACAAAATCTAATGTGATTTACCAACATTAATAAAATAATTGCTGTAATCTTCACACCAACTGTTTACGCAGTGTCTGGTATAATATATTTTATTATTCCGGTGATGGAATTTTCAGCAGTCATAACTCAAAGTCTTCAGAAATCATTCTAATATTCTGATTTGGTGCACAAGAAGCATTTATCAATGTTGGAAACCACAAACTGTGAAATTTACAGGCTGTTGAGAAGATGAAGATTCAAAACAACAGGATTTATTTTAAATAGTATAAATAATTTGACTTTCACATGATCAATATAATGTGTTACGGGTAGTGTATATTTAAAAAAAACTAATAAAAATGTTCCAATTTTGGAAATGCTATACATCATTTGGACAAAAAAAAAAAAGACTTGGAAAAATGAAAGATTACGTTTTTCTAAAACAAAATACAACTGTTTACCCACAGTTTGAAACAGACTTGCTGACTAATGCCTGGATCAGATTACACGATTTTTTTTGTCTGTTACGATAGTCACTGTGTCAGATTACGCGATTTTTGGCTCCTTAAATCTTGTCGTGTCGTGGACAAGACACATGTCGGACTACACGTTACTTCCTGACCAGTCATCGCATGCCGTGTTTAACGGCGCGCGTGATGTCATCGAGAAGGCGAAACTCGTAGCGAGTGATTCCTGGATTGTTTGGCATTGTCTTTTCAGCGTGAGCAATACACAGTGTGGCGTGTGAACTGTTTGAATTGCGTGTGTCTCAAGGCCATTGCGTGAGACTTGAGAACCCTGCTCGAAGACGACAGTATGGGCTGTCAATCCTCCAAAGAGAACTTGAGGTAAAATTTTGTTTTCTTATATATTTTTACTTCGTTTTTTAACGTTAGCACCATCGTCTCTCTTTCGTTTTATCTTTTTTGAAAGTTGTATACCTAAAAGCTTGTGCTCCTATTGGTCAACCTCATACACGTGACGGAACCGTCGTGGACGACTGTTTAAAAAAATTAAACATGCTAGTCTTTTTGTCGTGATGTCGTCCACATCAGGTTGTCGCCCACTATGACACTATACGAGATGATACGATCGAATGTTCAATTTTTACATTCGCAATTTTTACATTAGCACCATCGTCTCTCTTTATTTTATCTTTTTTGAAAGTTTGTATACGGAAAAGCTTGTGCTCCTATTGGTCAACCTCATACATGTGACGGAACCGTCGCGGACGACTGTTAAAAAAAATTAAACATGCTAGTCTTTTTGTCGTGACGTCGTCCACATCAGGTTGTCGCCCACTATGACGCTATACGAGATGATACGATCGAATCTTGCGTCCCGACGCCAGTTGTCGTTTATGAATCCCCACGACACCCTACGTCAAACGGATCGTGCCAAAATCGGGCTAAAATCGGGTAATCTGAACCAGGCATTTGTGAAATTTTCATTATTCACTAAGTGTTTTAGCAGGTCCAGGTCAACATAATTGGACCAGTTTTCACGTAAACATTGAGAAGAGTGTTGCTGAAGATCTGGGTTAGCACTTTATTTTATTGCCGGTGTAAGCGTCAACCTGCAGTTGACTCCACCAGCGATCATGTGTCTGACCTCAGCCTCTCATTCATACTTTAGTCTTCACAAGCTGCAGGTGTGCGGCAGTGTGTCGAGGCTGGGTTCAGTAAAACAGCACTCACCTGTCACATCAGCACGGGTTGCGGCTACAGGAAAGACAGGAAGTGTGTCTGCTGCAACTATGAGTACAAGCAGAGACCTGCTCGTGCTATTTCACCATTTCAACGGTCGAGGTTTTTTTTTTCTATCCTTTGTGTGCCCGGTTTCTGCTTTCAACTACGTTCAATATTAATCCCATCACCACACCGTCTAATCCCAGCCCAAGGTAGCTGAGAAGTCATTTAAATGCATCTGCGTTTCCGTTTGATGCTTCAGTGCTGAATCTAATCCAGGGCCCCCTGTGACGTACTCCTCATTAATTCTGATCCACACTGCTGTAGATAGATGACGTTAAGTGCTGGGATGCTGTTCGCTATGAACTTACTGATATTTCATCTTTATCTTTTCCCTCCCTTCACATACTCTCGGCCAGGCAATTGCAGCTCGTTGCATCTTATCGCGAAATCGCTTTTTGATGAGGTTTCAAAAATGATGGTCGAAATCAACTCACCTCTGTCACGCCACCAACACACAGAAGTGTTGCAGTGGGTGAAAGTCTTTGATATGTACTCTAGACACAGACTGTGCACTTTTCAAGACATGACATGTACATAAAATAATATTCAGTGTATATAATACAAAAGATATACATATGCACAATACAGTGGTTTCTTATGTGCTTCTTTCAGTCCTTGTTAAACATAATTTTGTCCACTCATTGCAGATCTCTCCGATTGCTTGAAAAAATGCAATGCACTTTAAGAGACTGTAATTTTGACCGATAACGATAATCCAATACTTATAGGCGACTTAAAAATAAAACACTAAAAAGTAAAATTAGTCATTTTAAATGCTACAAGTGAAGTTATGCAACACACTATTATAATGTACAGTATTGTTTTAAAGTTCACTATAGATTTCAGTGTTATTAAATTACTAGTGTTTACAAAAATCAACTTTAAGTGGGCATTAGATGACAAGGTAAATATAAATAAACAAAAACGAGAAATTATGTACAATTAAATATCTAATAATCAATAAGGTACTGATTACATAATGCATCCTTAAAGGGATACTCTACCGTTTTTTTTTTTCATATTATATACATACCTCTGTTGTCTCAGTCTGCACTCAATCACTCTGGTGCGTGAGACACTTTGATAGCACTTAACTAGCCCAGTTCATTCAATATGGGCCAAGCAGAGAAGCGACCAAACACTTCGACTCGGGGCATGTACATCTATGGACTCGGCGCAGGAATATCATCACTCCGGAGAGTGGGAGGGGGGAAGAGGACTTTTCACGAGTGCGTCGAGTCGAAGTGCTCCCAAGCACTTGCTGTGGTATTCCGCCATACAATATAGTTTTATTTTGTGTCACCGCCCTAGGTCGAGTTACACTACTCGTGTAACTGTATTTAAATAGGGAAAACGTGGAGGTGTTTGGTCGCTTCTCTGCTTGGCCCATATTAAATGAACTGGGCTAGTTAAGTGCTATCAAAGTGTTAGATAAGGGAATAACGACGTTTAATATGAAAAAACGGTGGAGTATTCTTTTAATATAATATGTCATTTACAAGTATTAGTATTATGTGTCTCAGAAATTCTTTCTCACCTAAGTTTTTATTTATTTGTTCATTTATTTAGGAAGTAATAAGCGGGTTAATGTATAAATAGCTAGTTATTATGACGAAATAAACCCTAACAGGAAGGGTTTGTACCAACTGGAAGGAGTTTATGCCATAACTATTTCAAAATCTGTGACGACTTATTCCACAATATTTCCTTCTCTAATGAGTTTGTTAAATGTGTATTTTTCTAGAAATCGTAGATCATTACGAAAGACTGCAGGTGCTTAAGGAAATCGTGAGAAAATTTCCTCCTGTGAACTATGAAGTTTTCAAATACGTCATCACTCACCTCAACAGGTAAAGCTTCGGCTTCCCCCTCTTTATCGATGTTCGTTAATGTCCTGTTAATAAATAATTTATCAAATTGGAGGTTGATTTCCAGAGTTTTTTTGTAACATTATGAAAATATATTTTGTAATTTGTAATGTCCTTTCCCCACCAGGGTAAGTCAGCAAAGTAAGACCACGTTGATGACGGCCGACAATCTCTCCATCTGTTTCTGGCCTACGCTCATGAGGCCTGATTTTGAGAACAAGGATACGCTGTCCACCACCAAACTCAACCAGTCCGTCATCGAGTCCTTCATCCAGCAGTGCCAGTATTTCTTCTATGGTGGTGACATCACAGAGCCCTCCAGCGCTGAGGGGACTCCTCCTCCACACGGTCATGGTTTGGAGTCTCTGATGGCCCTGCAACTCCCTCCTCCCCTCCAACCACAGCAGATCCAGCACCCGCTGCCCCCCGAACCCCTCATATAGACCCCCCAGATCACATTCGGCTGCGTGGAAGCCTCCTAAAACAAGAAGTGAAAATTAATTATCTTTTTTTTTTTTTTGTACAAAAGATGTGACTTTCAGAAAAGATTTTTTTTTTTTAATTTCCATGTTTTGCCTCTCAGTAAATGTGCACATTGACTAATTTCAAACATCGTGAACACAAGGAAGATATATTTATGAAACTCTTTTTCTTTTTTTCTGAAAGACAATGGAGCTCTCAGTCACTCACTAAAACCAACACCACATGCACGGCTTACCATAATGGCAAAATGTGCCATTTTTCTGCTTGTGTTTGTCCTCTTTTTATTTTACAATGGACTAAAGATATATTTTTAGGAAATTTTTATCTTAAAGACAGCAGTCGTTGTTGGGGTGGTGGTATCCCAAGTCGTTTGGGATTGAACTAACATGAGTTTATAAAATCAGGGGCGCCTGCCTAGGATGCACTTTGTCCTACAGACATTGAACCGGGAGCCCCTCGTACTCTGGAAACCACAGAAAGGGAAACGGCCCACTGCAACCACTTGGCACATCTCAGAGATCCAGGCTTCAGAAGACGCCTGGTTATCTCCATCTCGTTTCATGTTCGTTCGTTTCGGTTCCGCAGACCGCCGTTCTATGGTTCTTTTGATTCATTTCGTGAACTGAATTTGCATGTTCTTTGCCACTTGTAATAACTGAAAGAGTTAACGCGGAGGAAAACCGTAAATGCTTAACTGTTTTTATGCAAAACTTTTTTTTTTTTTTTTTTTACCTAACTTGTTTAAGGGAACATTAAACTGGGGTAAATTTGTTATATTTGTTTGTTTGTGTCATGCCATAGTTCAACTTTTAATATCATTATTTTGGCTTTAATTATTTCCCTAAAATAGGAAAATATAAATATCTCTATATATACTATATATATACTATATATATATACTATATAGTGTATGTATGTATATATGTATGTCAGCATCATTTGATGGCTGATGAAACAAAAATCACGGGGTACTGGAGCTCTGTATAATCTTGTAAAACCTATATTCAGATCTCTTTGTGGTATGATGTATTAAAATCTGGGGTTAGATCCATTGACTGTACTTAATTCCCTATATGAATTTTTTTTTTTTAATTAGATGGTACTGAATTTTTTTCCACTGTAACAGATGCTGTTAGAAAGCTTGCATTCTTTGTGTGGAAAACAGCACAACTCAGAGATGTTTAGCTGTGTTGTCAATGGATGGGAACAAAAATGACAAGATTTATCTTAATTGACTCACTAAAACGGAGGAAAGGGCTCAATAGGGCAAGTGTGCAGCTGCTAGGATCCCATTTAGTATAGTTAAAAAAAGAGCAACATTGTTCATATGATTGCCTCATATGATGTACAAACTAAATATTTTAACATCATCTGCTATGTATTATAGTAAATAAATGATTTTGACAAATGATGTTTGCCTGATGGTTTTTTTTTTTTTTTTCTGTCACACATTATATGAAGAAACAGCCATTGTTAGAATGGAACAGATTTGTGGAACAAAAAACAATTTTGGTCAATAAAAATTATCTTAAATATACCACTCCCATTTTCTAAAATACAGATTGTTAATTGCAACATTTATAATACATTATGATACAGTATAAGAATCTAGAGTTGTTTCCGTTAACATTGCTAAGAGGTATTGTTCATCCCAAAATGAAAATTGTCATTGTTTACGCAAACTCATATAGGTTTGGAACAACATGAAGGTCTTCCTTCTGTTGAACACAAAAGATAATCATTTGAATGTTGGTAACCAGATTGTTGATGGCACCTATTACCTTAAATATTTTTTTTCCCTACTACGGAAGTCAATGGCTACCAATATTCTTTTAGTATCAATATTCTCAAATATCTTTTGTGTTCAACACTAACTCATGCCTCATTACTCATGATGGTGAGTAAGTAATGACACGTTTTTTATTATTATTATTATTATAAAGTGTTATCAATAAAATTATCATACGTGACAGCTGGTGAACAAATCCTTCAGTGGGTGGTAATACTGTATTTTTTAATAGTTTTTTTTTTTTTGTTGGTTTTTTAGTATTTGAAATTTTGTTCTGATTCTTGTTTCTGATTATTTGCTCTTCTCCTTAGTCTGTCATACATTTGTGCACACAAGCTCCTCAGTAGTCATCTTAGTACATTTATATCATTGACAGAATATAAATTGGGGTACAATATCTAAAAACAAGCATTTCAGTCAGTAAAAAAATAGAAACACGTAATTGGCTTTATGCACAGCTGCACTACTTCGGGAACTTAAGCCAGCTCCTTGTTTCCTGTCTTCAATTATTGGCCGAACTTGATTCATTCAGGTGTGTCTTATTATTGTTGCCGTGACTACTGAGCTCAGGCACACCTGGATTAATCAATTTGTCCAAAAATAGAACAGGAAACAAGGAGCTGGCTTACGTTCAGGAAGTAGTGGAGCTGTGCATAAAGCCAATTGGCATCCCTGCCTGCAGTTTTGCTTTTTTTTAATTAAATGTATTTATTTGGAGACATTTGTCACTAGAGAGCGCCGCTGCATACCTGTGAATGAGGATTGCCACCTTCAGGTGAGGTTATGAACTACACTACTCAAACCAACGGTCTGCGCTAGGCAAGCTTTGCGCTTTATTTGATTAGTTTACATTATTAGGCTGAAGATACTATCCATATGTGTTCATGTTTTGTAACGATATACTAACACAACTAGCCACAATTACACCACTGGGCATATGTTTAATTTTTGACATTTTTTTAAAATGGAAGTCAATGTTGCACCTGGCTTTGCCTGGAGTGCTATTGTGGCTGAAACCTTTTGCCATCAAAGGTGAGAATTTGAAACGGCTACATAGCAGTACAGTGAAAGGGAGATTTTGTCATCATTTACTCGCCTCGCCCTCGTGTTCTTCCAAACCTTTCCAAAGTTTCTTTCTTCTGTTGAACTAAAAAAAAATATATATATATATTTTCAAGACTGTTGACAGCACTGAGACTTCCATTTCACAATGTTAGTCACTTAGCTACAGCTGCTCGATCATAAGGAAAGAGTCAGCCAGCTGTATGTCTGACGTACAGCTGGCTAAAATGACAATAAAAATGACAATCACATCATTGCTATTTCCCATATTAAAATGGCACACTGCCACATTTTGATTTATTTCGTTATCAGATTTGAAAGCTTCAGTAAGAAGAGGGCAAAAGGCAATATGGCAGCAGGATTGACACTGAATTGGTTGTCTTGAGATGTTCAAGAGATCACTGTGAATTGACTGATTAATCATAGAAAAAAATCAGACGGTGTATATGTGTGTGTGTATATATAGTTATATATATAAATATACTCATAGTTTGTCCTGAAATGGCATTTATGTTCATTCGAAACTTTCTCAGGAACATGTTAGTATGATAAAATCACATTTTTTAAAGCTCTGAGGGACCAGCTGCCAGCTGTCCAAACAAGCCCATGTCAAATTTAAATGTGGCATTTCTCCACATCAATGCAATTGTTTGCTTTAACACTTTCAGATTTGTGCCGAAAACGGTGGTGGTGGTGGTGTCGGTGTCTTTTTTGGCTTTACACATAAAGATCAATGCCAAAGGCAAAAACATTTAAAGCATACAGTCAATGCAGCCTGATACAACTGACTAAAAGATCAGTGTACTCCCATTCACACTCATGCCAGAGAACAAACATTTGTTATATTTTTGTCCTAGACAGAACTGGAGAAATGTACTAAATGAAAAGTGAGATGTTTCCAGCCTCTGCCAAAATAAATGCCAGAGCGTCAGATCCTGAGATAAAACAAAGAAATTAAGAGTTTTGGATTCTTTGGGTGAAAAAGTCCAACAGCTCAACACTCGGATTAATTGCCCAAATCGTTTGCAATATGCACTACATGGGTGAATCTCACAAGAACATGTCCTAGTCACATTTCACGTATATGAAACAAGTGTTTTTGTACCATTAAGACATATTATTTTTGGTTATTTTTTCACATTTTCTCCCCAAATCTCAAAAGAAAGAAATTGTTATAAAAATTAAAATTTATCAATCATGCAAAACGCTAGTTTAAAACATTTCTGTATTAGGAAAATGAAAAATGATTATCACCTATAAAGAACAAAAAAATCCAAGAGAGAAAGTATATACATAAATGTTAATATCAATTTCGTATTTTATATACTATTTAAATAATTTTATTTAATGATTAATGGTAAAGTGACCCAGACATGTTTTTTTTTCTTTCTGAGACTCGCACACATACAAAGCGATTTTGGTTTGATCAGACAGTAAAACCTCCTCTAACAGATGACAAGACTGCTTCTACCCCTTAAGCTCTGCTGCATATGGCTGAAATCTTTATTTCACATTATCATAGAGTACTAAACCAATCCACTGCTGAACTGCTTTAAGTAACCAATGAACAAAGGCATGTGGACAAGATGATGAGAGAAAGCAACAGTCCAGGTACTGTAAAAGAATCCTGAGATCGATGATGCTGCATTTTGACCCTTCCAGTTTCTGATTGGCTCCATCAAACCGCACGACCGGAAAATTCAGTTAAAGCTCAATGGTAAAAGTTTGAAGTGGAGCAAAAATTATATAATCATCAGGACAAAAACGTGTTAGAATTAAGCCAATGAAATTAGTAGTGATCTACAGTACGCCATAAAAAATACAAGAAGCACCCCTTATCGAAGTAACTTATATAATCATAGACCAAAAATGGTCTTTCTTTTTTTCATGAATAGGCCATTATATTACTCAATCAAATCAAATATAACTAATAAAAACAAACAAATAAAATAACTTTTCTAGAACAAGAACTGTTCAAGTGTCAGGCAGCTGCAGTCCTAAGCACATATTATAACTGCGTTTTTTTTTTCTTTTCTTTTTTTTTGTCCATTCAGATTTATGAAGCGAGACAATGAACAAGTCATGGTTGAAGCTCACAGAGATGTGTTTAAAGGCCGCAAAAAAAAGACATCTTTCCCTTTGCTAATCTATTCAAACGCAGATCAAATGAAGGCAAAACAGTGCAAGAGGTAAATGGAGCAAGAACCGAATAACTCCAGTGAGTAGCAGACGCCGAGATAAGCGGGATGGACCTCTCCACCCAAAAAAAAAAAAAAAAAAGAGAGCGTAAAACGGAGAAAGGGGGTCCGTCGGTCCACATAGATGGGGACATCATTACATCGCCACTTGGGAGTCCGTCACAACCCAATGACGTCCCCTGCACAGAGCTGTTAAATGTGTACAACAGGACAGCATTGTCATAACTCACAAAAGGCAAGTGCTTGTTTGTGTTCTGAACACCACCAGCCTCACAATCACAAATAGTTCTGTTCGTTTGTCAATGTCCCCAGTGGTTTGCTCAATCACTATGAGCCCGGAGGGCTGTGGGCGTCTCCGTCGGGCCACAGGGTAGCAGGTCGTACTAATGTAACACTTTCCGATAAGGAAGGTGGCTGCAATTGCTCACTAACTAAATTTTCGTACTCGCTACTGTCCTCATCGTCGTCATCCTCATCCTCCTGGCCGGTGGCCTGGCGATTCAGGGAATCTGAGCTCGAGCCGTCTCCATTGCCCAGGCCCACACTGGGAGACGGGTGGCCGGGCGAGCCCACGGCTTGGGGCCGTGGTAGCAGTATAGCGCTTGGTGAATCTGGAGGCAGTGCGGTGCTGTAGATCGGTGGAGATGACGAGTTCACTGCTCTCTTTAAACTGGGCTCCACTGAGGGACCTGAGAGCACGACTCGAGTCAGCGAAGAGTGTGAGGAGTCGGGAAGGGCCGAGTTATCGGGAAGGGCAGAGTTATCGGGAAGCGTGACAGCGGCTGCCTCTTGGAGTCCTGTTAAGAAAATAGAGAAGATATTAACAGAAATGGTTTCCTTTTTTTCGCTAATTCGCAGATCAGCAGCACATACTTCTCTCTTCCTCAGCGCTGTTGCGTTTCCTGAGAGCGATTTCCTCTTTGAGTTTGTTTACTTCTTCTTGGATTTTCTCCCTCACTCGTTCACTTTGATCCACTTCACAGCACACCGCCTGCGGGATGACAGGAAATTAATAGATAGCACATCCTCAGCATTATGCTAAATATTATACAAGTATTTCTGATTTTATTTATTGTAAACATTTAAATATTATCAAGGTTTGACATGTAAAGGGCACCTATTATGCAAAATTCACTTTTACATGGTGTGTGTACACAACCACCCTATAATGATAAAAATCCACCCAGTGCTTTTTTTATATTCCCATAAATCATAAGCAATGTCTCAGAACAAGCCGTTCTCAGATTCGGGCGATGTGACGTACTGCAGTTTTTGCATAGACCCGCCCTGAGTGAGAGAGCTGAACACAGTCCGCCATTGTTTTGACGGCAGAGCAGCTGGTGACAAGAATGTCTTCTAAGCGATTGAGGTGTTTTGTCGGATGTACGAATGAACATAGCAGTCTTCGTTTACTCTCGTTGTTATTTGAGGATGGATCTGTACCAACTATTCATGATCCAGCTTACGTTCTCCGGAGTGATAGGCCTATTAACGAGTCGTTTTACGGATATAAAGTTTACCAGTTTATTACACACCCCCTGAAAAGGTGTGTACATATTTGTTTACTGTTAGTTGTAACAAGTGTTTTGTGTAATTTGCTGTGTATGTTGATGATACTGAAAGGGAGAGAGAGAGTTTATTTTATACGGTGTTATACAGCATCTCCTGGACTGAGCTTAAAGTTAAGAAGCAGTATAATGATGCAACTCACCTGCACTCTTTCTTGAAGGGCACTGTACACCTGAAAAATAGCTCGAATGTCTTTCATCACTCCATCCTTATCAAAGAAGTCAGTCCTATAAATAATAATCATTTAAAAAAATTAGTAAACAGTAAAAAGTAGCCCTGTTTTAGGTTGTGTACAGTAGTTTGCATTAAAAATCTGTGCAAATATATGGCCTCAAAGACAAGTATATAAACAAAACTCCTCTTTTTCTCTACTGATAGACCAATATACTGGAAAGACTGATTGATCTGAGAAAATTAAGCAATTCTGAGACTAATTCTAATATGGTTAGAATTAGACAATCCACCAGTACCCCTGGAATTAAAAACATTATTACAAGCTTACCGCTTTGAATCGAGCTAAGGCAAGCAGATAGTTTTGAACACTGGCTGGTTATGTACTTGCTCAAAAAAAAAAATTTCACAGCCTTGCTGAGCATAAGACATTTCTGAAAACATTATAATTTTCTACAGCTACATTCCATGACATTTGCAACATTGCAGTCAGGTTGTCTCACCCATGTTCTTTAATGACACTGGCGTAGTTCTTGGAGGTGTTCGGCACAGATGAGACTTTATATTCCTGTTGACTGGTGTTGCCCAGGTTTGGGATGCTTAGAGATATCTTCTGATTATACCTGCTGGGATAAATAGCAAAATTAAAACAGAAACAAGCGAATTTGAAAAACATTATGCAAGGTATTATGAAATAAAAATAAAAGAGAAACATCTTTAAACAGTTAAAATTAATCATGATTGTCATTTTTCTTTTACCCCACTCCATAACTTTGTATAAGACAGCTTGTACATACTTTCTGTTGGGCCTGAAGAGCACATACTCCAAAGCATGTGTGGAACTATTGGCTGTGGAGATGAAGCTGAAGAGGAGGAAGACCAGATCTGGGATGCCAAGTATATTGGTCAACTGCTTATGGATCACCTGCTCCCTGAATGACATCTGCTGTTGGGTGTTCCTTCGAAACCGGTACCAGCCGATAACATTCTGCACAGGAAAAGAAACATTGTGAAGTGGGTCAGCTGAATTAAACACACAAAGAGGTACAATGCAGAACATATAACCTCAAGTTACCACTTGATAACATATTTTTCTCTTGCGCATTTTTATGCATATTTAATGGTAACTGCTTACTTTTCTTCTATCCTTGAGGATTCTGTTGAGATTTTCTTCATTGACGTTACCTGCATAGTCATAAAAGCTGCAATATACAAAATAACTGTAAGTTTGATAAGAAAGAAAGAAAGAAAGAAAGAAAGAAAGAAAGAAAGAAAGAAAGAAAGAAAGAAAGAAAGAAAGAAAGAAAGAAAGAAAGTGTATCTCTCTAATAATATCAAAAGTTTGGGGCAGTACAATTTTAAAAGATTTTTTTAGAAGAAATTTATACTTTAGCAAAAAGTCACAGTAAAGATATTTAAAATGGTACACAACATTTCTATTTAAAATAAAAGTTGTTATTTTGAACTTTTCATTTTTTTATCATGGTTTCCATAAAAATATTAAACATAACTAACTGTTTTCAACATTATATTACATAATAATAAGAAACGTTTCTTGAGCATCAGATCAGCATATTAGAATGATTTCTGAAGGGTCGTGTGACACTGAAGACTGGAGTAATGATTCTGAAAAATATACATATAAATTACATTTTAAATATATTAATATAAAAAAATAGTTAAATTGTAATAATATTTCACAATATTACTTCTATATTCTTGTTCATATAAATGTGGCCTTGGTGAACATAAAATACTGTACTGACCCCAAACTTTTAAATGGTAGTGTATATTTTTATAACATAATACATATTGAAGAACGAGTCTACTAAATCCAAGCACTGATGCAGGACATTCTTACCTAAACAGTTGTGCACAAGGTTCATGATTATGGACCTCTGAAAGTCAAGTAAATGCAAGTGATTTATTAATCAACATTGGAGTAAATGAATCATGCTGTGAATGTTCAAAAGATCTACATTTAAATATTCATATGCATACAGACAAGATTAACCTTGCAATGGACAAAGAAAAATATGCAGGCAGTGTGCCATTATGAACAGTCTGGAGGACAACATGACCTTAATAATGGCTTCATACGGCAAATATAAGAAACTATCCGGACCCACTTTTAATGTTGTGGAGCCCTTTGTGAAATTCTTTGTAAGGTGATGAGAGTTGAAGGGGTCTGGGAGCAGCGCCAAACTCAGACACATAATCTCTAAATGTTGGAGAGGAGCTATTTCCAGTATTTTGGACTGGAGAAAAAAAAGAAGGTCTATTATGTTTGAGACTTTATCTCTCAGACCTTACAAATTTTACTCCGAAATACTGGCTGACACAAACTTTAAAAACAAATCCAGTCAAACAGTTGAGAGGCTTATCAGGTTGTTGACAACAAGGGCAGTTTGCTACAGTACTTTGGATGGTTGAGAATGAACAGATAACAGCAGCAGCCATATCTTGAACTGATAGCTCAGGACAGGAAGGCCATCATCACATCCTCACTTTGAAACATGTTATGTCTGTGATCTGAGACTGGAATTAACTGAGGATTTCAGTGATGAGCTGCATCCTGTTTTGTTACTAAAATGGTCATCCAAAAAAATAAAAATAAAAATAAAATAATCAAACAGGGTTTTACCTATTACACTGAGGAATTCTGAACTACCGATGTGTGAGTCGCTGATGCTTAAAGTTTCCTCTTGTCTCACTTCTCCCAACAGGAAGCCTTCCTGAAAGAGTCAACAATTTTGCTGTTAAAATGGCAATTTAATGGCAAAGATAGTGTAGTTAAAGTCACAATGAAATCTAAATTGACAACTCATTTTTTATGGAATATCGCAGTATTTATTATACCTGTGCACATCATTATTATTATTATTTTTTTTTTAAATACAAGTGCCCTCACAATCTTTAATTAAAAAATAACTTTCCCTCCCTCTCGCAGAGACATCTCTTCTGTTCTCTGATGATGTGTTTACTAGCGTGAGGGAGGGGCATCCTGTCACAGCAATAGCAAACCACGACCATCTAACAATCCAATCAATTCCCAATGGATATAATAATTTTTTCTTGTTCAAGAAGACATTTCACTCAAATATAAACCTCACAAAAGAGAAGACAAGTCTATTGCAAGCTTCGTTTCATTACGACTTTAAGACAAAATGTTAATGTTGACATGACTGAATAGGCACCTTCCACAAACAGATTATGTTTAAAAATTAAGTATTCATTGCTATAATTATTTTTTATGACCGTCCCATTACTACATACGGTCTAAAACCATTGTTTGATTTAGCAATTTCCTAGCAATAAACATAAAAATTATGCTGTCACTTAGTCTTTCCGTTCAATTGAACCCAAGTAGGGTTCAGTTCAATACAAAGTTTATTTGTATAGCGCATTCCACAATATTGTCTCACAATGTTTGATCAGCTTTACAGAAAACGCTTGTTTCAGTGTAGCAATTAAGAATTATTCTGCGATCAGTCAGAGAAGAGTGTGTCAAAGTAATGGCAGTAATATACAGATAGAAGAGTGGTTAGAGGTTAGTAAACATCATGTATTCAGGTAATAAAACAACGATTTTGTTAGGCAAAATTGTTAATAATAAAATATGTTTTTTTTTTCACTTATACAGTAACAGGCCAACTGCCATTAAAAGGAGGATACAGACATTTGACACATTAAAAAACAAACAAACAAAAAAACATGAAATCTGCACCTCTAATGGCCATGATATACCAAAGTGTATATGTTAGTCAAATGTGCACTCAATTCATGCAGTAAATAGTTTGTATAAAGAGGTCTGAAATGGAGAAATGTCATTGCTGCAAAGGGAGAACAACAGAAACACTGTTCTCCAGGAACTCAGCACAAATTCAGTGTCTGTTTACGTGTTCAGTTTAAGCAACTAGATCACACTGAAATAGCTGATTATGTTGTAGAATTAAAATACAATTAGGTCATGAAGGTGGTTTACAATCAAAACCCCATAAATATTATAGGCTAGATGTTGACAGTCCATACCATAAACACGTTCAACTTAAGTGGTTGGCATTTAGATATTCAGTAAGAAAAAAAAAAATACGAAAACTATCTTATCTTTGATAGGTTGAAAACAGGTTAAGCATCACACCTGACTAACCAGCTCAAAACAACTATGCGAAGCCTGCAGGGTCAATGACAGATCACCTACTTCCTAATTCCAGAGAGAATGACACAGAACAATAAGTCTATAAAAATTATCCTTATGTAAAGAAATGGGTGAATACTTAATTCAATATGTGTGTTAGACATTCAAGTATGCATTTGACAGTTGTTGCTGACAAACAAGTTAGCCGGTCAGCTAATGTGACTATTTTAGACGCATTGATGTCTATAACACTAACTCGACGAGATTTAATTCACTGAACGCTACCAGGCCGTATACAATTATGAAAGTGAGCGATGATAAACTAAATAAACTGGAATGTCACTTTCTGACAAGCTTGTGAAATCCGTCGGCTTGTATGTTTGCTAGCTGTCACCCTGACTGCGTCTCAAAACATGGTAAGCTGCCTAGCTAGACCGCATTTTGTTGACCATTAAAGGCGCATTCTGAGTCAGCTCTATTTGACTCATAATATCTTAAGTGCCGCAGATATGAAATACTACAAAAATGACAAAGACTCGAAACTATGAATGTTGAAATGCACTCTTGATGCTAACGAACGCTGTCTAGATAGACAGCTTACCAGGTTTTGATACACGGCCATTCTGTAGCCACACCAGGAAGATGACACCGGGAAATGAATTAATTCTGATTTGATGGAATAAACTGTTTGTTGTTTCGCTATACGATCGTGCACTTAAACATTTAGACTCAAAGTCAGGTGACATAGTACTTACATGGTCACAATTGCTGTTGGCACTGTGATAACACACAGAACTAAAAGTATATCCCGAAATTGACGCCGCCATGATGGAAACATACGCGCCGAGCCCACAATCCTTTGCGCACGCACTGTACGTCAGCCTGTACATGAATAAACAAACCTTCTTTTCATGAATAAACAAACCTTCTGTTAAATTGTCATATTTGTTTCCTTTCTTTCTCTTCAATGTCTTAGGTAATATGTCTTAATAGGTTAATTGGGCTTCTTTTATATATATGTATTTCTATATAAATTTTAAATATCTTAATGCTGACCCTAAAAATGTAACATTCTTTTTTATTTTTTGACTGGATGAATTTTGAAAACGTTATAAATAAAATATATAAATAAAATGGTATACATAATATAAATGTATCTGTTTGAAACAAAATATGTACCTTAAAATTAGTAAACCTTTATTAATAAAACGATATTAAATATACATTAATATACTTACTTGGTATGTAAGTCATAGTTTTTACCATATGATTCTTAAAACGTTATAAATAAAACATTAAAAATAACATGTATGTTTATATTTTAAACTAAATATTCCTGTCAAATTTGTATCGCTTTGCATTCAATTTTGAATATAAAATAAAATTGTTAAACTTTCAACCTTTATTTTGTAACGTCACCGGATGCTGCTGAGACGGGACGTCATGATGGAATCGTCCGGTTGCATGCATGGAATCGTCAGTGAGAAGCACGCATATGGCTGAAGACAGTCTGGTGCAGTGTACAGAATCAGACGACTTTGCTCCTTCAAAACTCGGAACAAAGGAGTAGTAAGAGATATTGCTTGATTACTTCGCCCTGGTTTTATTCGATCTCATATTGTAGGGAGAAGACCAGCACATATTACATTTATTTGTTTATTGTTTACCTCTATGACACCACACATGAATATTGTATATTCTTTCCAGCAATTTCTGCAAGTGAAATGTTACACCTGTATATGGTAAATAGAAACAAAACAGAACAGGATTGATTTGAGGGATTCCTTTGAATGTAATCTGACAAGAAATTATTCTTTTTTAAATCTGGTTTTTCTCCTGATTTTCTCGAAGCTGGGATGAGGCTTATAAAAGAGAGCTACAGACTTACAAGGAAATTGGAGATGTGGGGGAAATATGGTAATTATGCTGTTTTGTCTTACATGCTTGTTTATGAATGCCCTTCCATATTGATTTTCTCCTTCAAGTTAAGTCTGTTCTTGCAAGATATAATATGAATACAAACCAGCATCATTGTGTGGTGTATTAGTTACGTTCTGTAATTTATGGCAATATAAAGACTAATTCCTGTGCCTCTGGTGGAACTTTAGGTTTGGTGAGGAAAGTATGGGCCGAGTGATCAGATGGATAGAAGCACAACATATATCTGAAAATGCTGCCATACTTGATATTGGGACTGGAAACGGGATGTTCCTTATGGAACTGGCAAGTCAAAAGTTCAACAGATAACTGCATTATTTAGTAATATTTAATCACTCAATTAATTGAAATAGGATTTGAAATCATAGAAATGTAAATAAGTATAACTATAAATGATGATAATCGCATGAATTATCCCTTAAGGCCAATCGTGGCTTTTCAAACCTTACTGGAATTGACTATTCCAAGGATGCCGTCGAGCTAGCCATAAATATTCTGGAAGAGGAAGGCTTGAGAAATGTAAAATTTCAGGTATTTATTTAAATAATTTGGTTTAGCATGCATAAAATAACTAAATAATTCCATTGCTCAACAGAACAAATAATGAAGAAGTATTTCTGTTTGTGTGTTTTACATGTGACTTCAGGTGGAGGATTTCTTGAATCCCAGCTCAGAATTGAAGGGCTTTGATGTATGTATAGATAAAGGCACATTTGATGCCATTAGTTTGAACCCAGAGGACAGAGAGGAGGCAAAAAAGCACTATGTGACCTCTTTAAGAACTGTTCTGCAACCAGGCGGCTTCTTCATCATCACCTCCTGCAACTGGACCAAAGAGCAGCTGATGCAGATCTTTAACCCTGGTACCTGAACTAAAGCACATTTCTTTAACTAATAGTGTTTCAAATACTGTAAAGATTGTAAGAAAGTGGTTTCTTGCAGGTTTTGAGTTGGTCTGTGAGCTGCCCACCCCTCGTTTCCAGTTTGGCGGTGTGACGGGTAACAGTGTGACGGCTTTGGTATTTAAACAGATTGACTGATCTTCAAGTTTTTAAAATGTTTTTCATTGTAATATCATTAATGTAATTGTATAATAAACTTTTTTGTTAAACGTTTGTTTTATAATACAAATGAATTACATTTATTTATCCGTTACACATACACTGGTGTAGTGTAAAGAGAGGAACACATGAGGGCAGTATTGAGCTTAATTTATTGTTAACGATATGTCCATTTTGACAGTTCTCAAAAGGTTGACGTCTAATAAAATGTCAGAAACATGAAGTAGTTAATTGCTGTGTAGTGTGTACACTGTCAGATAAAGTTAATTTTTTTGTATGTGGGGTTTGTCTGAAAATTTGAACTATATATCGCTACAATGACAATGCCTGATTGCCAGTTGTAATGAAGTGCAGTGGAATTTGTTAAACAATGTTTACATTGCCATTTAATTGTTTTTATTTCATGCCAAGTTTTCAGGCAGCACTGAAACATCCAATTTAATAACGAATTATAAAATCAATTTAACTAAATAACCAATATTGTCAAAAAGCTCCTTTATTTGTGAAACATAATTTGTTTATCCATTTACTAAACATCCATTAATTGAGCAGTTTTCACGCACCAGAGCTTCACCCGAAGCTTTCAAACAGTCTTGCAAAGTTCTTAAGCTGAAAGCGTCTGTGTATTTCAATGAAACGCCTGAACATTAACAAACGTCTCTCGCTTAATACTGGGTCACACTGTATTGACACCTCAGGAATAGCATCAATGGTCTCTGTCACCACTGTTTCTTGGGAGTATTTCTCTTTCTCTGATGGGTCATTTTTAAGAAAAAGTCTGACAGCTGCACCTGATAAGAAAATGATTGAGCATCCAGTACACGACCGCTACCACGGCAACAGTGAAAGAGCAATAAAAGACTGGCTTTGGGCCATGATGCCGTGGTACTTTAAAGTGAGAGAAATCCCACAAACCTCTCTGGTTATTACCCCATCTCAAAGCCGGAGAATGAAATGAAAAACAAAGACCTGAATTTGAATCTCCCTTGGCACCTTCTAGAAACGAAAACAGAATTTTATATGAAATAAAAGGGTGCGAAAACGTCACTTTTTTCATGCATCAGCATTTCATGTCAGTAAGAAACCGAGCAAACAGAGAATCCAGGCACCTTTTGCTGAAGAAAGAGTGAATTAATTGTGTGCGAGATCGATGGCTAGCCAGTGTAGCCTACATAAATGTGGAAATCAGCCGTGAAATCCACAGCATTGGATCAACCGCACCATGTCCACTGAAACATGCAGTGACCTTGAGCTGGATAGCAGTTTGCAGGCTTGCTGAGGGCAGCCTGAGTCTTTTTTTGGAGTACTACAAGGACATTAAAGGGTCAGAAAACTAGACTGTTAACAGATAATTATTTCTATGCCATTAGTTCACTTTTAAAAATACTTTTGCTGATAATTTACTCACCCCCATGTCATCCAAGATGTCCACGTCATTCTTTCTTCAGTCGAAAAGAAATTAAGGTTTTTGATGAAAAAAAATTCCAGGATTTTTCTCCAAATAATGGACTTCAATGGGAACCAAACTGTTCAAGGTCCAAATGGAGTTTCAGTGCAGCTTCAAAAAGCTTTAAACAACACCAATGAATAAGGGTCTTATCTAGCGAAACGAGCAGTCATTTAAAAATAAATAAAAAAGTTTAAGTTTTATAAGCACAAATGCTCGCCTTGCTCTGTTCTGTGATGAGCATTTGCGACTCTCCTGTTCAAACTCGTTCATCAAAGTCATGACTCGAAGGGTCCTAGATAAGACCCTTATTCATCTGTCATTTGAACCTTGAACTGTTTGGTTCCCAATGAAGTCCATTATATGGAGAAAATCCTGGAATGTTTTCATCAAAAACCTTAATCATCCAACCATGACACCATCTGCCTCCTACATGATTTTAATGCCATTTTTATCTTAAAACATGAATTCATAGAAAATAAATAATAAACATATTTTTTTTCCAAAATTTGTAATCTTTTATATAGAAATATATAGTGCATGATTTAGAGGTTAATATATTGTTTAAATTCAACTGGCAATTTGTGTAAAAGATTCAAGTTACTCATTAACATCTTGCTTTTTGTTTTGTTTGTTTCAATGTTTTTTTTTTTCTTTTACATTCATTCCAATTACTGATGTCCTGCGGTTTAGCAATAACCTGTGGCAATCACAAACATGCAGAGCTCTCTTACTCGTGTGATCTGATGTATTCTTATTAGGAAATTCCTTCCAGTCAAAACCATGAAAACAATATCAGTTTCCATTACCAGGTGATGAACATTTAACAGATTAATGAATGCTGCAGTGAAAAGCCCACACAGTATTATTTAATAAAAGACTCTTGATTGTTCATGACTGTTGACCATTATCCTCTACTTGAATCCAAGAAGAGGGCATCATTTGTTTCACATTTATCTGCATAATTAGATTGTTAAGCCTTTAATTCAACATCCAGCCATGGGTTGTTCTAATGAAGAAAAATTAATCCATTGCGTTAATTTAATTGATCTTCTACACAAGTTTGCAATGCATTTTCCCTATATTCTGCTAAATACAAGCTGCATGTATATTGTATACTGAACATTTATTTTATACTGCTACTTGTCTAGCACGCTAGGTCTGCAGCGGATGTAAATGCACAGTGATGAACTAAAGGAGGAAGAACTGTAACAGATTAAACTCAATCCTTCTCTCGTCACGCAGGAATGGGCCCCAGCAGGGGGAGTGCAGAGTAATGGTCGGACTAAAATACATCACCTTTGTTCTGGGAAGTTCTGGGAAAAGATGAAGTGCATGCAGTGAGATGTGGCACCTGCTCTTCGTGATGAAATTCTTTGAGATTATGGTCTGCGTGGATGCTAACAGGGCCAGGTAATTGTAGATGGATTGTGAAAGTGGGACACTTAAACTGTGAAAAGGTGAATAAATAATATTCAGGATTTTTTTTTAAGTAGCCTATCTAACACTCTCTGAGGCTTTCTATTTCGTCATCCATCATATTAAAATGATATTTTATTTTGGGTTAAATGATGGATTCTAAAAGGTGACTGAAATGTTGATGGTTCTTAAAATAGCTGCCAGGTCATTCCACCATTAGGGGCCTATTAGGATGTAAGCAAATGCTTTTGCCCTGTGAAGACTGAGTGCACAAAATTCCCAGACTAAAATAAGGCCCTTGCTAGGTTTAGGCTAGGATCATATGGGATAGAATCTAACTCAATGTAACAAACTGCACTGAGACACAAAGTTTGAGGATCCAAATGCAGTGTTTTGATGAAAGGGTTATCCACAATCGTAAGACAGGCAAAAGGTCAGAGCACAGTAAATCAGTCCAATCAAAAAAAAAAAAAAAAAAAAAAAAAAAAAATCCAGAGGGTTAGGCAGGAATGGGAAAACCAGGACCCAGGTAGATATAAAAAAACAGGAACATACATTTTTGCTTACTTGAAAAAAGCATGCAAACCGATTGCACTTAAAAAAACAGTAAAGTGAAATAGGAATAATATGTAGTACTAACAAGTGCATATCTAGTAGTGTACACTTACAAGAGAGTTCATATAACTTAAAATAATTTGTATACTATACTTGATCTTTTACTTTAGATGTACTCATTCTAGTTGTGTAGAAAACAAGTGGAAATGCTCATAAATGTAGTGTTATACAAGACATCACAGTTAATATATGATATGTATAAAATGTGTTACCTCACTGTTATCTATAAGCTAGTGTGCTCCAAAAATTAATCAATTAATTGATTAATTAATCTCAACGTTGGATAGATGTTGTATTGTGGTTGAAAATGAAAATTGGGTTGACGTCAGAAACCAACATACACTCAACTTTCATTTCCAACCAAAATCCAACGTCTGTCCGACATTGCATGTTGACGTCAATCCAACGTTGGGTTCTGACGTTAACCCGACTTTCATTTCCAACCAAAAAGCAACCCCTGCAACCAAAATCATCCCCTGACTGAAAAAAACCCTACATTTTTTTTTTTGAGTAGCCCAATGCCCAACATTGTGATATATATTGCCCAAGATACGGTTAATTAGAACCTTTGCAATAGTAATAGGGTGTTATCTACTTTGTGAGCCAAGATCTTGGAAGTAAAGGTCCCAAATTAGATGCATGCAAAGAGGGAGTTAGGGAATTTAATAATGAGCAGTCAGAAGTAGCACGCCTGACCCCCACTCAGTCCAAAAGAGATTTTAAAAACCAACCGGCCCATATGTTTGAAATAAATGAACGATATGGCATATAAAATCAATGGCTTGACAGTGACCCACTGCTACAAAATCAATAAAGCTGCAAGTTCTTGGCCCTTGTTTAAATGATGTTGCGTGTCCTCAGTGTGAGTTATCTGCAAAGAGTTCACTGAGCCAATTTCCATATGATAAGAGGCTAAAGGAACATCTGCAGCTCACCGTGGTCTGCATCTGGGACTGTGCAGACGAATGTGCCATTATCGCCCTCGACAGGACAGATGCTTCAGGCATGTCATCAGGTGACATACCGCTAGTTGTCGACACTGGTTCAAGTTTTTCACTGTTTGCCCTTTTGGCTGTGAAAAGGGCTGGCAAAGTAAGCCAGTCATATTTAAAGGGATAATCACCCCCCCAAAAAGAAAAATTTGTCATATCTCTCATGTTGCTGCAAAACTGTTTGACTTCAAAATAATTTTGAAGAATGTTGGAGTCCAAACTACATTGGACTGTGCAGACTTTCATTGCATTGTTTAATTTTATAAAACATTTTGTGCATGATAAAGAAACACAAGGGTTATGTTTTTTATGTGTGAAGTGTGGTTATTGTATTTTAATAAAACTAAAACCATATACCAATACATATACCATATTATTTTATTTTGACTGATATAAAATAAAACATATATAATTGTATTTCAACTAGTTGCCAAAGCAACATCTTTAGAATGAAAAAAGAACATACAAATATAAAATCTAATTCAACATGTTCAAACAAAAAAGCGTGAACTCATGTATCTACTAAAATCACCTTGGAATTAGTTGGATGAATAATAGTGAAAAAAAATTAATAAAAATAA